TTGCAATAAAGAAAAAGAAATGGTGAATCTGCAAAGATAATAAAGCGTTGAGTTTTCCCAATACTTGCAATCAAAAGAAAATCTCCAAAAAAATAAATAAAGGAACGGTAAGCACCAAGTTTTTCCAATTTTCAAATACTATTTCACCAAAATTCTCTTCACATTTGGTTTTTGAGTGATTAAAAGTCTAATACCTACACACATTTTCAAGTTTACTCATTCTTTATCAGCCGAATATATGCTTGGAGTTTTATATCATTGTTTACTAAAAATAACTCTGATTGCATTTTAGAGAAGACTCAACCCTCTAAAAAATCAATTTAATGGCTGCAAAAAAATGCACAACATGACCTACCAACCTACATTGTAGTTGTAGTGGTAGAGAGACATCCAAAAAAAAAAAGATTTGATTTAACGAAAGTTTTTACTTTTCAAATAAAATCGACCTCAATACATAAAACGAAAAAAAGGAACCAAAAATAAAACATTGCATAAGATAATTTGGAAAAGAGATGGATTGAAAGAAGGGATGATTTAAGTGGCATGAGAAGGATATATAATTAAAAGATGAGACTGTCCACTTTTATTTAAGAAAAAAAAAAGATGGCTTTTAATGGGCCAAAAAATTGTTGCAGGAGTGTCACAGCCCGAATGGTTCTCTCTCTTATGGCTTACAACGGCACCTCTCCTGAGCTCAGCGGGACAGCAGGGAACCTTGTAACTTCACAAACGTAAAAATTTTCGTCCCAAGATCAGAATTATCTCCAAATCCGCTGTTCTTGCAAGGTAATCTCTCTTCCCTTTACCTTTATTCGTTCAAGTGTCAGTCACTTTGTTTAGGATAATTCCTTTACTTCTTTCTGAGGCTCGAGTTTATGTTGCTTTTCGCAAGGCAGGGTGGAATTCTTGATGATACAATTTACCCCTCAAGAAATTGAAATCTATGAAAAATATAGATTTTTTCTTCCTTTGATGGTCCAGCAGAAAACAAAACATTAGGTCACGGACTGTTCTGTAATTAATCTGGTAAGGAAAATGTTCTGAATTTAATTATATCTTTCACTTGGTGTTGGTATTTTGATGGAAAATTGAATCTTGATACTTAAGCTATAGATACAACACAAGTATATTAGGCTATTGTTGCTCTTTCAGAATGTAAGTTAGCCATTTATTTTGGGTATTTAACTGTAAAGTCTATGAATTGGTGGGAGGATTTGTTTTGAATATGAATGATAAAAATTAAAAAAAAGTGATGACTGAGATTGCACATTTGTTGGGACAAAGAAAAATTGAGGAATTGGAAATAGTTATCATCAGTCCGGCTTCTTGCTCAAGATAAGTTTGTCAATGCAATTCGTATTATTAAACATCTGCAATTTTATTTTTCTCTTACATGTCAGTGTCGCGAATCTTGGGTCAACCTAAACATGAAGAAAATAGCTGTGTCACAGATATAGGGCATGGATAGTGCAGTTTTGGCATTAGAACTTACTGCTCTTTAGGCCTTTTCTTTTGTATCTTGGTCTTATGGATAAGCTTTTTCCTCAAGAAATAGTGTGGAATTTCAGCTTGAGTTTACAGGATATCAGATAAGATTTCAGAAATTTAGCCCCAGTTTGTATATCTACTTGCTGATCTGCTAACACATAGAGTTGGCTGCTTTGCAAGGTTCTATGTCTTGTCTTCTTTTCCTGTTTCCGTCATTTTAGTTGTGTTCTTTTGGTTGAAACCTGTAACTGCAGAAATCTAGAAAATCTGGATGCTGACTGCAGAATGACGACTTTGTAACTAATTAGGGCAAGCAAAGCATGGGGGGATTATGAAAAGTAAGAAAATGGAAAATGTTTAGCATGCATGACAATCCTTCTGTGATGGTATTGTGAGACATGGATGCTGCTCACTACCTTCTTCTTAAACAGAGTGAAGTAATGTGCATCTAAACTGTTATAATTGTATTTGTTGTGACAATCATGGAAGAGCCTCCAATGTGATGAATGTTGCTTATTCCTAACAGGAATGCACAGTCTAATAGTTCCTTAAAGGGGCTCAAATTAGGGGTGTGAATCGAAATCGAAATCGATAATTCCGAATTTTGAAATCAGAATTTTTTGAAATTTTGGTATCAGAAATTTCGACAGATTTCGATTTCGAATTCACCAATTCTGAATTCGAATTCGTTCCGAATTCAATTCGGAATTCTGTAAATTCCGATTTCACCGAATTCATGAATATAAAAATTATTATTATTATAATATAAATATTATATTACGTATATATAAAAAATATTTTATATATGTGTGAAAACGAAATTGAAATCGAAATAGTAATTCCGATTTCACCAAATTCATGAATATAAAAATTATTATTATAATATAAATGTTATATTATATATATATATGAACAACAGATTTGAAATCGAAATAGAAATTCTGAATTCCGATTTCGATTTTGAATTGTGAATTCGAAATCGGAATTTCCGATTTGAAAAATATCATTACCGAATTCGACCCGAATTGTACCAATACGAAATCGGATATTCTGATTTCCATTCCGAATTACTGAATTCGAAATTCTGAATTCAATTCGAATTCGGTCGGTAAATCAAAATTTTTTGATTTTGCACACCCCAGCTCAAATGTTTAATCATGATAGTAACGGGCATTGAAAGATTGGTTCTATGAGATCATAGCATTAGGTGGTTTTCATTTGAATATCTCCTCTAGAGAAGTTGAAGGGTATTTGAGGTGGATATGTTGCAGAATAAGCATTTCTTGATTTTTTGTACTAGCTATAAGATTTTGTGTTCAAGTCTTATTATCTTCTATCAATTATGGCCGATAGTTCATTATGGGGTTGCTAGTGCTTGTCTATCACTTCTATTTTCATTATAGGAATAGAAAGCATGGGGCCTCAAGGATTGGAAAGCAATTAATTTTGTTGAAAACTGTGAATGATACTCAAGTAATAAAGGCTTTTAGAAGGTTAACCTAATATGAATGTGACATTATTGATACTAGAAGTTGGGTCTCTAGAGCTTGTATTGCTCCACATAGTGAATCTATCTTCTGAAAGATCAACTAGATAATTGGGTTTTTGGAATTCCTTAAGAAGAAGGTGGCTTGCATTATGTGCATTTTCCAATTTCATTGCATTTTAACCTTGAGGACATTAGTGCGCAATTAAGGATAACAAAGTGGATAATCGGTTGTTGTTAACAAAATACTAGTGAAAAAGTTTCAGATTGGTTGTTGTTAATTAAAATAAAATAATTTAAACCTAATCAAATAAATAAGACAATATGTACACATGATAAAAATGTAAGATGTCGACTTGACATAACATAAGAATATCGAACTCAGCAAATCTATTATATAGGGAACTAAATAGCATTTTATTATATATAGTAGTGCACGGGTCCTGTTTATCTTCAAGATTTTGTTTTTAGATGAACATGGATACAAAAGAACTAAATAACAAATTTTATTAAATATTTTAAAATACTAAATATTGGACAAACATTGAAACTAAATGATAAGAAATAGTTACTTCTACAAAATACATTGATTAGTTCTCAACAAATCTAACCTCGATTGTTTTGTAATTTATACAAATAGTTACTTCCAAATGGTAACTCTTTGATTAGGCATAATAAATAAAAATGGCGGAAACTAATAAAATGATTGAAAGTTGTTACAAATAAAGAAGTGAAAAAGGAAATGGATTAATTATGGATTTTCTAAGGGGTGTCCGCCCTTAGGGTATTGGTTAGCGCACTTAACATTTATCTAACCTACCATATATGTATACATATATTAATAATTATTATCCTCTCTTGCATTTATATACTTTTTCAATTTAATTTCTCCTATCATCCTTTGTATTTATTTACTTTTTTCAATTAATCTTATATTTTAAAAAAAAAATAACACCTAAAATTTATTTTAACGAGTGCTCTATGAACACCTATTAGACAGACCGATTAATTATAACCAAAAAAAAAAATCAAAAGCATTAAAAAAACTAATATTAAATATGTCCACATGACGAATAGATATATAATGCATTTGGCAAAGGTTAGAGTAGCCAAATCTACAACCTTTCAAAATCCAAATTAAACATCATTATATATATATATATATATACATGTCTGTGTGTATGTGCATGTATATATGTACATATGTATATATGTATATGTATATACGTATGCATGTATCATATGATATAATATGTGATATATGATAATACAAGCAATTTGGTTTGACTTTCAAATCATACATTTCTTTAGTATTTTTTTATGGTTGTGGGATTCGTCTACACCTGTGTTTTAAAACTCGGACCGGACCAGCCAGTTCGATCGGCCAAGTGTCCGGTCCGAGTTATGCTAAAAAATCAGGTAAGTAAAAACCCGGTCAAATCAGGTTTGATCGGGTTTTCCGGTTCAATCAGCATTTAAAAAAAAACTCAAATTTTTTCAATATTATGTTTTGACCCTTAGATTGTTAAAAATTATTAATATACCTAATATTTTATACTTTATCAATGTTTTCTTAAAGTTTGGTTTTATTTTTCAATTAAGTCCATAATTTTAATTCTAAACTTGTTAATGATCATTAAATAATATAAATTGCTACTTGATTATTCTAGTTTCTTTGTTAAATATATTTGAAACATCAAATATATATGAATATACCTTTATTAATATTAACATGTTATTAGGTATTTTACATATAATATTTTAATTTTTAAATAATTTTTATTTATAACATCATCCGGTTCAACTCCTATCGAATCCGGTTGAATCCATTGGCCTCTGACCAAGTCGATACCCGGTCCGATTTTGAAAACATAGGTCTACACAGAAAGTATGGGGAATAATGTGCAATTAACCTTTCGTATGTTGAATTATCAAAAAAAAAAAAAAAAAAACCTTTCGTATGTTGAAGAAGTCAAAGGCCTTTCTAGGTATTAACTCTATACGGAAAAGAAGTGAAGTGAAGAAGGGAATATTCCATTACTCCTTTCTAGCGTTCTTAACTAATTTGAGTGGAGGACGAAGATCATCAGAAATTCGTCATCAACTTGAGAAGTCTGATGAAATGGGGCTGATAATCCGGTGGTCTTGTCTTCTCAATTAGCTGACCCCAGATGCAACGGCCAGTTTGCCACCAGTCTACAAACTCTTGCAGGTTCTTCTGTGTTTTTTTTGTAATTCATACCTTTTTCTTTTAAACTTGCTAATTTAGCTTTATGCATCGATACTTTGATGTTTAATGCCCTGGATCCCTGAGCTATTTTGAAATTTGGATAGAAAAGAATCCCAGTTGGTTAGTTTGAGGAAACAATCAGTCAAACAATGACTTGTGGAGACAAAAATCTAGTAAAAGAAGAATTGGAAAAATTGAAACGCCAAATCAAGAAAATGATGATGGTATTGATTGGTTGAGTGCCCTTCCAGACGATTCTCCATCACATTATGTCCTTTCTGTACACGAAGGATGCTGCAGCCACTTGTATTTTGAGGTTCCTATCCTTTGTCTCCATATTAATGGACTACCAGAGCCTCATAGGGCTGAGGATGATAGTGCCAAGTGAATTATGCAAGCAAAAAACAATTGAATCAGAGGTCCAACAGGGTGCCACCAATCATACCACAAGTCATCTGCACATCTCCTACTACGATTTGAATGCATTTCCTGGCAATGGACCTCAACTTTTAGCATCTTCCAGGAGGAAGAGGAACAATTGGTAGTTGGAGCTGGTGTAAAATTATGAACTTGGTAAATTCTTAATTTTACCTACAATAAACAATGTTTCCATAATTTATGAACAGCCACCCATAACACATCTACAACTTCTCTGAAACTTCCACCCTATTTTTTGCAGAATGGTAATTCTTTGAAGAAGGTGTCTCTTTCTGGACAATGGCAATGTTTGAAGTCCTTGTCAGAGGATTGGAATAGGATATTGTCGTTCAAGAAAGCCTCAAAGCTTTGATAGGTTTACCAGATTGTGCTCAACAAAAGAATTTGGAGGAGAAGTTGATGAATTCCATATGCAGTTATGAAAATCTCCTAGTAAATTATATCCATCTCTCTTACATGTCCTACGCCTTTTCATCCTCCTGATAACCAAGAGGAAGAACAAAAAAAAAAAAAAGAGTCTCCAACAAATAGTTTTGGATTTTGTGTCTGTCTTTTAAAGATTTTGTGTAAGGGGAGGTTTCCTGGTTGTTGTTTCTAACGATTGTGTCTTGAGATCATTTACATATGACCAGTTATTTCAGATTTTTATTGTTAAAAATTGAAAGGTGTTTGAACTTGTGACAAGGATCAAGTGTCATCTGATGTGATTGCTTATGCTTTTTCAGGTGGCTTGGTACATCACTTGGTAGCAGAACTGGAATTTCTAGTAACATATACAATTTTCAGCTGAACTGGATCATTTGCACCTGGAAAATAAAGCATAACATGGTTATATCTGCTAGTGTTATTCGAGATGACAGGTTTTAGCTTATTTCTTTTTTCAATGAAAAACATGTTCCTGGATAAGATCTTCATCATTTGGAAACTACTTGACAAGTATAGTGGAAGTGAGTACCCTCACAATTTATTGGCACTGTTAAATTGGCACTGTTGGATTGGATGATGGATACTGCAGCAAGGTCACAAGGCTCAATGCAAGATGTATTGTTTGTAATAGCTATCAATAGCCAGAATTTTTGTGAGAAAAGGACTCATTTCTTTCTTTAACAAACAAAAGAAACAGATTAGTAAAAAAATTTCAACCGATGAGTTTACAAGGGCTCATCAATGATATACAATTTCTTAGGTTCTTCTCCATGGAGTTAAGAACTTTAGTTGATCCTATAATTTCTATTATTACATCAAATCAAAGCGCAAAAAATCATTAATCCTCAAAAAGTTTCAGAGCTAAGAACTTTAGTTGATGCTAATCAATCCAACTATTACTTGAAAAGGAATGAGTTCAGTTGACTAAAGTTGTTTACTATTTGTTTTTCTACACACATTCATTAATGAGGACGGAGAAAGATGGAAAAAAATTAAGTAGATTGAGGATGAATAGTTTGTCTTTTTTGTTCTTTGTCCCCCCTTCTTAAAAAAAATTGCCAATTTTGGTTTAACTATTTCAAGCTTGGATTAAATATTTATCAAGGCTGAACTAAAACAAACATTTTTCAGACAAACTCAAATTGTTTGAATTTTTTACATATAAATTTTAAAAACAATGATAATTGAGCCAAAGTTCAAACAGAATAGAGTTAATTCTATTTTGCGCCTTTCAACTATAACCAAATTCTCTCTTTAGTACTTAAATTTTAAAATGAGATATTTTAGTTTTTAAACTATAAAATTGGTCTAATTTAGGCATACAATTTGTCCTGCAATATAAGATGAGATATTTTAGTCCCGTTTTAGCTTCAAACAGGATAAATTTTATATTTCAATTTTAGGGTTTAAAGAGTTCCATCTCAGTATAGTTGAAAAATGCACAACACAATTAACCAAAAACAAGTCACGCTATTCATGCCTTGTTTAATTAGTTTCCAAACCAAGTTCAAATGAAATTCGACCAAATCAAATTAAATCCGACTTCGAATATCAAGTAGATTGGCTCGACTTTCAACTATAAAAAACTATGATAAATGGTGCAAATTTAGGGTGGGGGGGAATGTGACTACACCCATAGAGTGCGGGGAATAAAGTGCAATAAACCTTTATATTTCTTCAAGTCGGAGGAGGGACAGAAATGGTTGCAAGCAGCAACTGTCCTTGGCAGTTCACGGCCAAAATTTGGTCAAAAAATTTGTAAGGTCCAGATTTCATCTTGTATCTCGTTTTTAATAATATGTGTGAAACCCATAAAATTTTGTTATGGAGTTATACATTCTTAAAAGTAGGTTACACCGTGTGCAAAATGCACATATCCTTTAAGAACCGTTGCTAAGCAACCCTTCCTACCCCTGGCCCCTTCAAGTCTTCAACAAGTCAGGCGGCCTTTGAAGTTTTAACTCTACTAGTCTGTAGACGATTTCCGGAAGAGAAGTGAAGTGAGGAGGGAATATTCCATCACGCCTTTCCATGGTTCTCCAACTAATTTGGGGAGACCGAAGAAGATCTATCAAAAGATTCATCGTCAAGTTGAGAAGCCTGATGAAATGGGGTCTGTTTTTTCAATTAGCTAATCCCAAATGCATTACCCACCAGTCTACAGATACTTGCAGGTTCTCACTTTCTTTGGTAAAATTTTTTCCCGTGGTGTAGTTGTTAAATAATATGCAGGTTTGCTTCTCCCTACCTGGAAATCAAACTGACAAAGTCAACGTATCAAATTATAAGATACTAATACATTCTCGGTAATTAAGTTACTTGATCAAAAACAGCTTTTGTTATCTCAATTATAATTCCTTAGGAGGATAAGACAGCCATTCAAACGCCTGGTGTCGTGGTGTAGTTGGTTATCACGTCAGTCTAACACACTGAAGGTCTCCGGTTCGAGTCCGGGCGACGCCATGTGTAACAACACTTAGCTCAAACTACTTTTGTTTTAGAAAATTGAGTGTCTGTGTCGATAGGCTGGTGGAAAGATTTCAGATGGCGCTGGAATTCTTTATATCTGCTGCACTTCAGTGTGACGATTGTTTCCTATAGAAATATTCATTTGCAAAACTCTGGAAACCATGAAACTATCAAGGCAAGTGAATCTTCTTGTTCCCACTTCAGTTTTTTTGCCAAATCTCAAGGTGTTGCACTTGACAGGACCTGTGGGATTAGTAGATGAAAATTACTTTCCGAGACTTATTCGTGGTTGCCCATCTCTTGAAGAATTGTATTTACTTTTCCATAGTTTTGTCTGTTATAATTGAAGTGGTTGATTTATCTAGTCCTCCATTGAAAAAACTTAAGACTTGCTAGATTGGGAGGACGCTACAACTATGTAATTGAGCGTAACAGCCTAAACATATCTTGAAGTCAGCGGTTTTGGAAATCCTAATTTATGCTAAATGTCCCGAGACTGAAAAGATTTGGTGTATGAAATTGATGCTCAAAGAGTAGCGTTCATTCAAGAACTGAAGTCTCTTGTTAGAGCCACAATTTCATTGTCGCATCACGACGCAGAAGGAACTGAAAGTGGCTTGTTATTTCGTAGTCAGCAGGCTTTTGAGCTTATTAATTGGTTACAAAGTGTGAAGTCACTTGACTTATATCACCACTCCCTGCAGGTATGTATGCCTTCATTTTACTTCTTTCTATGTCTCTTCTTCTACACATTCTGTTGTTTTTCCCTACCAAAAGTGCTGCAGGCAGCCATGTCAATCCTGTCCAGCAGATGGAGATTTCTTTTCACTTCACTTTCCGATATATATCTCATGTTATATAATTAGTATAAAGGCACCAAACATGACTGTGATTGGATGGTTCTATACTCCTTTAGATTTTGGGATCGAGTTATTCAACCATGAAAAGGGGCTTCTTTTAGAAAATTTTGTCTGTACGCTGCAAAATTTAGATGAAATTCATAGATTCCAAATTGACCGGTTAATTGGTTCTGTGCTTCAAATTAATGTCAAAGAACTTGAGATTTTTGTGGGTGACTATAATAGTGAAAACTACTGTAGTTTCCCAGTATTTAATATCTACTCCTAGGATGTTTCCGTGCCGAGCACTAGTTAGTTTGAAAACAAATAGGAATTTGGACTTGATTATTGCTGAATTGGTTTCTTTACCAAGTGTCAAGGTTATGCACTTGGAGGGCTTTGGATTTGTTGATTAAGGCACTGTTAATAGGCTTATTCAGGGGTGTCATTTGCTTGAACAATTGTTTCTGTTGGGTGTTGGGGAAATCGGGTAATTTCCCACTCAAAAATACAACTAGTGATTAAACCGATTCAGTAATTCCCAGGAAAGACCGTCGAAACAATCTCCTTAGACAGAATTATCATTCCAAGTAAATTCCCAGGAAAGGCTGGAGGGGTCACAAGCGGTCCCACTTAAAACCCAGTCTCCTAGACAGAACTTACGTGCACGGTGTATTATCACAACTATACCCGTGTATACATAAATAATACGTACACACGAATAAGAAAAATACACCCAAATGAACCGTATAAAACACTACAAATATACCCGACAAATATAGACAAATATATTGAATACTATACTACAATAGAAAAGAAACTAATAAATAAATGCGGAACAAATAAAAGAGATAAGGAAAGAACGCACCCGAAAAATTGATAACGGAGTTCGGCCAATTTTGCCTACTCTCCGAGCACCACTCAAGCAGCCCTCTTTTATAAATTTTGGGAGAGAAGAAAGAATACAAAGAATTACAAAATCCTTATGGGTAATTCTTTGTTGTTCTTGGTACATCTAAGGAAGAAGGTGGCTCTTCCTATCAAAATCTGCTTGATTTAATTGATGCATTAAAAGCATGTGCTTTTGGTATCAAGAGTTAGTTGTCCAAGGAATAGTACTATTATGTTCTTCAAATAAAATGTTAAGTGTCAGAATACTACTATATTTCAGCAATGGGAATAATTAGAGAGGCTTAATCTGTGGATCCACTTGGAAAGCATGTGATATATTTTACAATCACTTGGTATAATGATGCATGATTATATAAGAAAAAAAAACGATAGAGAGTAGTGCATAACCGCGTAAAAAAAAAATCATGGTATTCCTAGATTATGAATTTATGATGGCGGTATCTAAAAAATAAAAATGCTCTCTCTTTCAAGTTTACACGTGACACTCCATTGTAATTTGTTACTATATCTTAGATGCATAAAATTTTAGAATAAATTTTATATACACTGATAATATATACACTTTTACGATTGGATGCATGACACATGAGCAAAATTTAGAATTTAAATTTAAATTCAGATAAATTATCATGCATCTAATGGTAATGGTATATACACTGATATTGTATAAAAGATTAAATCAAAACTTTAACCCCAATGGTGAAATTTTAAATTGGCAACATTTTAAATGTCTACTTTCATACTGTCAAACAATCTCTTTAGCGAATAATAAAAACAAAACCTACCATTGAGATTACTTAAAAATTTCACTCTAAAAGCACATAAATTTCCCTAACCACTTCTTTCCTCAATAATTTGATCCAGTACTAACATGTACGCAGGCATAAAGTGTCTATTCAACTATTTTAATTAGGTCTTTAAGTTAACATTCTTAAGGAAAATACAGTGATAAAAAAATATAAGATCACAAATTGATGTGGTACCTTTTCTTCAATTGGCTTAGCTTATACAGAGTATCCTAACATTGAGGAAAGCTACAAGGACTTAGGTCCTATTTGATAACGCAATCTAGCACTTAAACTTAATGAATACATGTCTTAATATATATTCAGACGCATTTGATAATAAAAAATTGAACATCTGAATTAATTAAATGTCATTGAATTTCTTAGGCAAAACTTGTTTCAAAATATAAGTGATAAGCTATTTACTTATCATTGAATGTGATATACACTCAAATATATTTGATTTAATATGTAACAATTCAATAATTTAATGGATTCAGATTTCAAATTTCAGATTCCAGTTTTATCAAACGCACCCTTAATTTAGTTGAAATGGTGTAGATAACTTTATGTGCTGATTGATTGAATGATATTGTATATTTTCTGTTTCAATAATTAATCTTATAAACTTTGGGGCAGTGCAGGCATTTCCTCATTCTTAAAGGATTGTACAAATAAATATTTTTATTTCTTCCCATATAATTTTTTTTTTCAAAATTACCTCATAATACTCGACCGTTAGCATCATTTGTTATAGTAGGCGCCAAAACACCAACGGTTTTTCAAACGGATGGAGGCACCTATACTACTTAACCTCGAAAAAGTCCCATTTTTGCCTAAACAAGTCCCAGCCCACGATTCAATACACTGGAATTCAGTGATAAAACATCAAGCAAAGCTGAAAAATGACAGAGCAATACTTACTACATACGCCCATATGGAAGCTTTGGGCATCTTGCCTAATAGTACAACATTGCCTCTGATTTTCAAGGCTTGTGCGAATTTGCAAACCCTTGAGAGAGGCAAGAAGATACAAAAACGATATGATGGGTTCCCCTTTGATCAATGACATCCGGGTTGGGACTAGTCTTGTTGATTTTTATAGCAAATGTGGGTGTCTAGAAGATGCTTATTACGTATTCGATGAAATGCCAAAAAGGGATGTCATAGCCTGGAATGCAATGATTTTGGGGTGCGTGCAGTGCATGGAGTATGAGGCAGCGTTATTTCTGTTCATGGAGATGCAAGAGGAGAATTTGAGGCCTAATTCTAGGACGGTTGTTTCATTGCTTAAGGCATGTGGTGAGCTTTCAGAGCTGGGCCTTGGGAAAGGGATCCACGGGTATTGTTTGAGGAATGGACTTATGGAAATGAGCAGTCATGTGGGTAGTGCTTTAATTAGTTTCTATTCAAGATTTGACATGACAACTGCTAATCATGTTTTCAGGTCGTTGGGTTCAAGGAGCACTGTTAGTTGGAATTCGATGCTTTGTGGGTATTTTGATGCCGGTCATTACTTGAAAACTGTAGATCTTTTCCTCTGGATGCTCAAGGGGGGAAAAGAATATGATCATGTTACTGTTCTAGTTATTATTCAGGCCTGTGCGGAACTGGGACTTATTGAGTTGGGAATGCAAGTCCATCAACTTGTAAAAAAACATGGCTTCAGTAAAGATCTGCACACACTAAATGCATTGATGAGGTTCTACAGCAGCATGGGGTACTTGAAATGTTCATTTAATCTATTTATCTCTGTTCCTAACAAAGATGTTGTGCTGTGGAATTCTATGATTTCAGCATGCATTGATAACAGCTTGAATGATGAAGCAATTAAAATGTTCACTAAGATGCAAATAGAAGGCATTAGACCAAATGACAGTTCTATTATTAGCATGATAAACTTATTTGCAGGTTTGGAAAAAGGATTGACAAATGGAAAAAGCTTGCATGCTTATGCAATTAAGTATGGAATGGAGGCCTTTACACTCTGTCGAATTGCTTTGTTGAATATGTATGGAGTTTTAAATTGTGTTGAAGATGCCTTGAACATTTTCTCCGAGACAAATGATTCAGATGTAGTTTCTTGGAACACTTTAATTGCTGCATTGGTTCATAATGGATTAAGAAGCCAAGTATTCTTATTCTTTAGGCAGATGCAGGAATCAGATGTCAAACCAAATGGTCACACTATAATTTCCATTCTTGCTGCTTGTGATGATGATACCTTTCTGAACACTGGAAGATCTTTCCATGGTTATGTAGTAAAAAATGGTCTGGAAGTAGATGCAGCACTGAATGCTGCACTGACTGAAATGTACATGAATTGTGGTGATGAGGCAAATGCTAAGTATCTGTTTGAGGGCTTCAGAAACAAAGATTTGATCTCTTGGAATGCCATGATTTCCAATTACGTGAACAACAACCGACCTCAAAAAGCTTTGTTGCTTTTCCATCGCATGATTTCGGAAGTTGAACCCAATTTCTCAACAATAGTAAGTGCTCTTTCTGCATGTGCATATCTAGCAGAACTTTCTCAAGGCCTTTGTTTACATGCCTACATAACACGAAGGGAATCATTAATGGGTTTTCATTTGCCTGTGGCAAATGCTTTAATAACTATGTACGCAAGATGCGGCTGCATGAGATATGCTGAATATGTATTTAGTTCCTTACGAAAAAGAAATTCAGTTTCTTGGAATGCAATAATAGCTGGCTATGGCATGCATGGCCGAGGACATGATGCTGTTCTTGCCTTCTCACAAATGTTAGAAGAAGGGTTCCTGCCCACAGATGTGACATTTGTTTCTGCTTTGTCAGCTTGCAGCCATTCTGGTTTGATAGAAAAAGGATTGCAGCTTTACCACTTGATGGTTCAGCACTTTTATATTACCCCCAAAACTTGTCCACTATGCTTGCGCAGTGGATCTATTGTCACGAGGTGGGCGTTTAGATGAAGCCATGCAATTAATTAAGTCTATGCCAATTGCTCCTGATGCATCAGTGTGGCGAGCTCTGCTTGGTGCTTGTAGAGTTTATTCTGAAACCAGTTATGCCAAAATCATTTTTGAAAAGCTTGTTGAATTGGAACCAACAAATGCAGGTAATTATATTTTACTTTCAAATGTCTATGCTGCTGCAGGCCATTGGTCAGAGGTCAGAAAATTGCGAATACTACTTGAGAAAAAGGGTTTGGTAAAACCTCCTGGAAAAAGTTGGATCGTGGTTAAAAATAAACTTCACCAGTTCACTGCTGGAGACAAGTCACATCCCGAAAGTGACAAAATCTATCAAAAGTTGTCTTATTTGGTGTCATCAATTAAAAGAAGGGGTTATGTTCCAGATGTTTGTTGGGTTCTCCATGATGAAGAACCTGAAGAAAAACTCAGAAGGCTACTAAGCCACAGTGAGAAGCTTGCTATTGCTTTCGGATTGATGAATGCAGGCGCTAAGTCACCAGTTTTGATCACAAAGAACCTGAGGGTTTGTGGTGATTGCCATGAATTTAGTAAGCATGTATCCAGATTGGTTGGCAAAGAAATAATTCTGAGAGATGGAAGTCGTTTCCATCATTTTAGCAATGGTATCTGTTCATGCAAAGATTATTGGTGAGGAGTGGTGTGATTGCTTGTTCAGATCAGGTTTCCATTTTAAGTCTATTCTTTTGGGGTAATAACTCTGGATCAAGAGGAAGGTCAAAGTTCAACTTATGAAGTTTGGAATCTTACTCTTTGTGTCTCCAATTACCATAATCCAGCTATAGACTGGATGCAACATTTTCAACTAAGTGCCACAATCCAACAAATTGATTCTGTAAGATTATAGCGTTAAGTTACAATCATTAACTTCTCAAATTACATGTGAATCCTTTGGATATCTGTTAATAGTTGTACAAAGAACTAGGTTGCTCTGGACATTCATGATTGATTGAAGTTTTCTGTTTCAATTATGCCTATACTTTGTTGTTTTTCCAGCCATTTAACTTCCATAATATTTTAATTCCTCCTTGTGCACATGTCCTCATGCTCTGCGTGGTTGTGTGGAAAATGCTTGATAAATGGGCATTTAATGCACGTAATATGGGGCATTTCTTTTTCAGTTTTCCAAACTTTTCAATGTCGTGAGATGCAGACGGAAAATTCATGTAAACTTTGAGTGTTTTTTCTTGATATAAGTTCTTCAAATTTTCAGTAAAGCAGTAGATAAAATTGCTAAAATATTTGAACAGTCCTTAAAATTCACAATTGACTTCTGACGATTTTGGTAGAGCTCTATATTTTTGGTAGCTGTAAAATTGTCTCTACTATACCATAGGCCACACTTTTTGTGATCACATTAAACAAAATTAACTTATTAAAAAGCTATCCCAGAGAGTATTGCTAAGAATATGTTTATGAAGTAATTTTTTCCTTTGTAAAATAGCATATCTATGCCCAAGTGTAAATTTCCATCTAAAGCAAGATGGAGAACACGCTGGTTCTTTTGCCTTTTGACCAGAGGCTAATCCACAATCAGCCTCCAAGTTAATTTTTTCTTTGTGCTTATGAGCTCAATTAACCACTACTGAGATCTCCATCTTTCCAACAATGTTAAAAAGAGCATGCTTGTAATTTTTGCTTTACTTTTAAAATTTCTGTTCAAAAGATATGCAAAAAGGTATATGCAGCCTTTATTCTAGACAATACATAGAGAACGTCTGATAATAATGATGAGTATTCCTGGTTCTTGATTTGACTTCAATTGCATGAGCGTTGCCTTTTCTTCTTGAAGCTGGAAACTTAATTTGTCAGGTGCACAGGCGTTGACAAAGTCATAAATAGTACTAGAGGCAGAAGAATTAAGTGCAAATTATTCATTGAGGTGACCGGTTTGTCAGCTTTTCTAAAATTTTATAGCTCAGGTGATTGGTATTTTATTGTTTGTCTTCTGTTTTTGCATGTGCACCAGATGTAAGGTCCAAATTTGTCTGAATAAAATCTTCCCTTCTGGTGGAATATTTTTTGTAACTTCTAGTTAGCAGTAATAATAGGTGCAGTGTACTTTACAAGTTTGTATGCGGACACTTAATCTTCTTTACATGTTTAACTTATAACCATTTATTTCAGATTTTTCTTTACAAAAAACATGTGTTTGAAATTGTGATTAGGATTGTATGTCCTATGTGATTGCTAATGCTCTTCCAAGTGAATGGTATGCTTTTCAGTTGAACTGGATCATTTGCATCTAGAAAGAAAGTATGACATCAATTTGACTAAGATAGCAATATCTGCTAGTATTAGATAATATGATAGTTTTGGTTCAGTTTATGTCATCTTACCATTTTGTAGAATCCTTCAATGAATATAGAATAGAGAAGGAAAGTAACTCCCCAGTTGTGCCCATTTTGAGTCCCAAAAACTAGCATGCTTCTCAGTTTTTCCGTTTATTCCTTTTTATGGCATTTTTGTTTTGGCAACAAAATAACCAGCTAGTGAAAAATATTGCCCTGCCTGGATACCACCTTCATCATTTAGAAAAAGAACACAATATTTGTTTTATTAGCAAAAATTTGTAGCTACTTAATAAGGAGCGAACTGCCTATGTATCAGCATACGTGAACATTTTATGATTTGAGTTTTTATCAGTGCGTTTGTCTCTGGTCCTGAGAACTATGCCTCAATGCCAAATAGGTGGTATTGATAGTTTGGGTGTTCCACCCAACTCTCTGCTTCTACACATTCTGTTGTTTTTCCCTACCAAAAGTGCTGCAGCAGCAGCCATGTCAATCCCGTCCAGCAGATGGGGATTTCTTTTCACTTCACTTTCCGATATATATCTCGTGTTATATAATTACTATAAAGGCACCAAACATGACTGTGATTGGATGGTTCTATAATCCTTTAGATTTTGGGATCGAGTTATTCAACCATGAAAAGGGGCTTCTTTTAGAAAATTTTGTCTGTACCTGGCAAAATTTAGATGAAATTCATAGATTCCAAATTGACCGGTTAATTGGTTCTGTGCTTCAAATTAATGTCAAAGAACTTGAGATTTTTGTGGGTGACTATAATAGTGAAAACTACTGTAGTTTCCCAGTATTTAATATCTACTCCTAGGATGTTTCCGTGCCAAGCACTAGTTAGTTTGAAAACAAATAGGAATTTGGATTTGATTATTCCTGAATTGGTTTCTTTACCAAGTGTTAAGGTTATGCACTTGGAGGGCTTTGGATTTGTTGATTAAGGCAGTGTTAATAGGCTTATTCAGGGGTGTCATTGGCTTGAAGAATTGTTTCTGTTGGGCTCTTCACCACAACCAAAATCTTTATTTCTTGACTCCTCCTCTGCAAACTTTTTCCTCTGTGCCTTTCTGGTGTCCTTAGTATAGTAGAGATGTTTGCTGTTACTGCAAAGTCATCCAATCCTGAACATTCATCCTATTATGTGAGTGGAAAGCATGAAGTTGGTATAGATGCTGCAAATCTTAAAAATTTTGACTAGAATAGTGAATCGTGTAGATTTTACTTGAAAACTCAAGTCTTTCTATGCAAAAGTATTGCAGGTTGGATCTCCCAGTTGTCTTGGGAGGAAAATTGATTAACTTCATCAGCATGCTCTTAAATTTGTTGGGCGCATGCAGGTCGTGAAACCTCTCTTTTTGTCTGAAAACATTCTCAAAGGTGTAGCATGGTTTCCTTATATCTTGTTCATGTAATTTGGTTTTGATTCTAAGCTTTAGAGAATTTTCCTCTCATGAGTCAGACATTGTTAGAAGCTTTATACTTGATCTTACTTCTTGTTCGCATGGAAGCTCTCTACTTTTTGCAGCGGTTGGCCATTGTCGAAAATTTGACCACTTCAGAGCTTGAAGCTTCTGATTATGATAGTCCAGATACTCTCTGTACCTGTACGTGGAAAATTTTGCTGAGCTTACTTGAAAGTGCCACCTACCCTGAAGTGCTTTTCTTCATAAAAAAGAGTTATTGTGATGCGTGAGCCTTACTTTTTGATTTTGCTTGCTCTATGGTTTAAAGAAGATGTCTAGATCTAGAAACATTTTCCAGTGGGTGCACAAAATTAACAAGAATATTTATTTAATCCTTCTAAAGGTATACATGTCACGCTGACTCCCCGGGCTTGTGGGCCCAAGATGTGATCAGAGTTTCAATAGTCGAGTTCAACTATTTGGGTTCTATCCTCACTAGTCCAGAATGAATATTCTTAGTTAGATTTAACTGTTGATACTTTGCTTAAGTATTGGTGTACAACACTTTACTTTTTCGATTAATAATGGGATATTATATTCACCCCTTCATTTTAGAGTTTGTCTTCTCACAAAATCTAACCCAATATTATAATCTGAATTGTCCACTTAATTGTGTTGGATTCTAGAGATGGCTCGTACGGATTCTAGAGGTGGCTCGTACAGACTCTAGTGATTTTTTTTGGTTATACTTTCCATTGAAGCTGGATCTTCCTTCTAGTTATGAAATATACCCCTGGCCCTGGATAGTTTGAGAAACAAAATTTTTTCAATAAGAGTAAGCCTACCATCCTCGTTGGAGGTTTTCCATAGACATTCATACCTTTTGATGATTAAGATTTACCAATTTGATAAGTACTAGTTTTTACTTCAATTTCTTTTTAGTTACTAATGCTGATTTGGCAGCAATCAACCTTCTCTTAAAGCCTGCATTTCCATTCTCAATAATACCAGCACTTATTTAACCCCAATAGCCACACACACATCTAGCACATTTCTTTTGGTTCCATTGAAGCGTTTCCCAGAAACACACAAGAACTAGTGAAAGAAAAAGAAAACAAATCCGTCCCACATCGAAGAAATTCCATCTTTTCGTCACTTAATAACCAGATGCTGCCTAGGACCCACCTGCCGCCGAGCTTGGTCGCGCGAGCTTGTGACCCAAGTGGGGGTAATAAAGTGTTGGAACGTTGGATTGGCCCAGATGGTAGGCCTTGTGGAGCTACTCACCGGCCTGCCCATTCCAAGCGGAGAGCTGAGCCATGTGGTTTGAGCGGAGGCCTGGACCACATGGCTCCTAAAGCGGAGGATATTGCGTGAGGCTGGCTTGACAGAGCAACGAAAACTTCCCGCTCCTCGCAGTGGAAGGATAACAGGCTAGAGCTGCACAAGTCCACTATTACCAAATGGGTCATCCTAATTGGACCAACACTTTTAGAAATTTTTTTAAAAAAATTTCTAAAGGAAAAGTTGTGCAGTACAAACTTTTTTTGCAATAAAGAAAAAGAAATGGTGAATCTGCAAAGATAATAAAGCGTTGAGTTTTCCCAATACTTGCAATCAAAAGAAAATCTCCAAAAAAATAAATAAAGGAACGGTAAGCACCAAGTTTTTCCAATTTTCAAATACTATTTCACCAAAATTCTCTTCACATTTGGTTTTTGAGTGATTAAAAGTCTAATACCTACACACATTTTCAAGTTTACTCATTCTTTATCAGCCGAATATATGCTTGGAGTTTTATATCATTGTTTACTAAAAATAACTCTGATTGCATTTTAGAGAAGACTCAACCCTCTAAAAAATCAATTTAATGGCTGCAAAAAAATGCACAACATGACCTACCAACCTACATTGTAGTTGTAGTGGTA